TCTGTCGAGTCTCAGCAGAGACAACATGTATTCCGCGGAGGAGACGTTTCAGGTTTCCTGCAACTCGTCCAAGACAATGTCGTATTCAAAGCGTGCTTCTGGTCTTCACGATGACAGTGGCCGTGACCGAAATGATTCCGTCAACACACCGCCTTCAGAATTTCCGCAGCTGTAATTGGCCTGCAAATAATTTTCCGAGCGATCTGTTTCCAGCAGAGCACAGAAAAGGAGGCAAGGACACGAACCGGTCTGTCTCTGTACGTGAACGCAGCCTACACGTCTGAAGATGACATTATGAATGTCGAAGCGCTCGCTGCGTAATAATAGATGATTAATGGGCGCATGAAGGTCGATTTTGCAATGCACCGAAGACTACACACATTAAACAGGAAGGCAAATCACGTGACGTTGCTTACATGAGTAAGCGAATAAACACGTGCGTAGGTAAACGGGTGCAAACCAGGGCCTCATTTACCGGGGCAACTGCAAGCCAAGGTGTCCAGCGGCGAAGCATGGCGGAAGGACAATGTTATGTGAGGGCGACCCGGAGGCCAGTGGCTCCGTTTATCGAAATTAAAGCTGTCCGCTTTTCCTCAGCCCTGGGGCGTGCATTACGAAACTAGAGAGCACTTGTCCTGCGCCTGGAGGCAACTGAAGTAATACAAGTGCTTATTCATTACGACGGCCTTGCGCCCACTAACAAGCGTCCTGTTGTTTACAGCCGTGGAGCAACACAATGATCGCTTGATGCACTAAACTACTACCAAGCGTCAGAACAGCGGAACCCGTTCACACTGACCTCCAGCAATTCTACTGACTTTACTAACGTACGAACAGTCAATTAGTGATCAAGATCCACATTTCCGTTGGGGTTAAAAAAGGTCACGTGTGACTTGTAGAAAAATGCACCCGAACTTAAGATTCCCTGCGAACTGTAAGTCGGTCCCCTAGATCAGCCGAGACCCCGTCCTACGTGGTTCTCCTCAGTTCGCCACTTGTTAACGTCGTCACGTCCCACCGACGACATTGGAAACCTGTACGTTCGGGGCCTGCACCACGCCCGGTACCTCAGGGGATGCCCGACGTTCCACAAGGTTAGTGCTGCCTCAGGCTGAGCGCCAGAGCTCTGCAGAGGGCGACCGGGGATCGAACTCCGTCCCTCCCTCCCGACACACGGCACTTCAGTAAGGACTGGAACGGAAGTCACGGGACAGAGCTGACCGACTTTCGCAAGACTTAACATCAATCAGCGGCAACTTGTTTATTTACCCAGCTCGGAGTAAACTGCGTCCTGAACCGAGTCCTTCCTGAGAAGCTAGCAGTCGCTCAGCCAACATCTTATGCTTCACGGATAACAAACCGATTAACCGTTTCTTTAAGGTCATCGTGTTTAATAACAACCGCGTCGTGACCACCTACAACAGCACATGACGTCACAACCCACCGACAAGTGGCGGAATGTTAACATTCCATCGGATTTTGGTTACATGAACTAAACAATTTTGTCGTTAAGAATGAAAATCACCAAAATCATGCGATTTGTTTACGGATGAAGGCTAAAGAACGAAGTTACACAAACCCGAAAGAACTCCCAGCGGAACTGCGAAGTCTGCACCGCTCTGTAAGAAGTTTGAGGAAGTTATTTTTTATAAATCCTACCAGAAATCTGGGTCTCAGCCCCGAGCATTAATAACTAATTCAAGTTCTTCATGGTCCTTCCGCGGGACGTGGAACCCGTCGACATCACAGCTGCCATCTGACGAGAAAACGTTAGACTGGCGGAGATCTGCCAAACTATAGGACTATCACGTGTGTTGTGTTGCAGCCACCTAGGCGTAACAGTACAGAACGAAAAACCGCATCTGTTCGCGACGAGAAGATACTCCATGAGTCACAAAAAAGCGGACAAGTTGTTTCTTCCATTAAAATTAGGAAGTTCTTCTGGAATTTTTTTCACTTTAAGACAGGAAAATGGATCGAGGGTGTTTGGGGACAGGGCGATGAAGGAAATGCTTTGGATTTAAGGAAGGGGAGGTGACATGAGGATGGAGAAAATTACTTAATAATTAGCACCATATTTGAACCCCATCCCAAATGCTATTAAGGTCATAAAAGCAATGTGATGGGCGGGGACATGCAGGGTTCTGGTCGTAAAGCCTGAAGGGGCAGACCACTTGGAAGGATAATATTAAAACGCATCAAAAACAAATAAGATGTGAGTGTGTGGTCCGGATTCATCCTCCTCATGGTACGGTCTGTTGCGGGGGGTGGGGTGGTGGGGGTGGTGGTGAGGTTCTTCGATTGTGAACCGTCCAGTTCCATACAAGAAGATAGTTAATTTATTGGCCAGCTGACGAACTAGCAGTTGCTCGCGGGATCACTCCAACTGCGATGCAAGTGACGCAGTTCGCGTTCGGCCCTGGGGCACACAGAACTACGTCAGAAAAGCACAATTATCTTCTCTACTCAAGCTGCTAATTCTGCAGCTTCTATTGTAACTCAACTGCAGACAATCTAAGCCTCGTACACATTTTCCGTCGAAAATCGAAGGCGAGAGGTTACTAGCCCCCCGCCAATCACCAAGCAAGGAGACCGCCCCTTGTGTGCTGTCAGAATTACAATTGATAATCAACGAAGCCTAGCGAAAAGAACACGACAGTCGCGATGCCACTCATCCGCCTAATCGTCTCAGCAGGAGCCGAACAGAAGTTCCGGACGCTTCAGAGCGGGCAGCGCGTTCTTTCTTACGACCGGGTATTTTCCAAGTTTCCTACACGTCACCATCTACTATGATAACTTGTATTTATGGGTTACGTGTGATTCTCACAATAAACAGCCAGTATTTTTCTCAAACATCACTGAACAGCTGATCTCTGTAATGGTGAAGTGCGGTGTTATGATCACGGTATGACGACTCCTCAGGACACAGCCTGCAGATGGCAGCAGCCGCGTGCAGATGGTCTTCTACGGTAATGAAGTCGCCGTTCCATACAAGGCAAGAAATTCCTTGATCATCTGAGCGATTACCAGCTTCCAAGAACACGCCTATTCTCTGGCGACTACCTGATATATGATGTCCGTCTCATAGTCTGCTTCTTGTCTTTAAAGGGCGAGGTTACTCGAGTGTTCCCTCGTCCGACGTCATTTGCTCAAGACGCTGACCGCTGCGCTGTCAGTCCGCACAGCGTGCGTGGTAATGGGAGGATATACGCGTCGCCCTACACTTCCTGCCCAAAGACTGGCATTGCTCCAGACCATGAGATCGCGGGGACCAGCTCCAGTCCACACGCCCACATCCCATATATTTAATTTCCATTTTAATAATATCCTGCCATCAGAGTTTTGTCTCGTAAGTGGTCTCTTCCCTTCGGGCTGCTGTGTGGCCCGTCTGGTGGACAGCCAAAGAATCTTCAGTCCTATCTCACAAAGGACAAACTTTCTTTGCTTCGATCTCATCGCTACTGCCCTCTGGACAGAATCACAGCGTCTGCCCAAGCGCCTAGCAGGCAGGCAGGCGGCGTGACTGCACAAACTTCCGCATCAGACGGAGATGACGGTCAGCTTCAAGCTCCGGCCTACGTGTCCCTTACACCAGTCATTCTGAACAGAACAACCGCGACCTGAGCCCTGGTCGACGAATTCTTACCCAGCTGAGGAACTGTCAGCTTCTCAGAAAATATCGGCCTGTAGCGTCACTGATTCGCTTTGAAGTTCTGTCTTGCGAACTGACGACGTCGTCGCCTGGCCTCAGTAAACTTTCGCACCTGACGAGAGAGAAGTAAGAGCTCTTCGACACATCGCATCGCCACGTAAGGGCCCACACGTCACCCTCGGGTTGCATTCGGAAAACGTCCACTTGGAAGACGAGAAGAAGGAGGGGCGACAACTTAATTTGAAAGGATACGGAAGGAGATACTGTCCCGAAATTTGTCTGAAGGGACTGAGGATATTGGACCTCCGTGTGGGGCGGACACTGGCTCCACAGACAGGCCTACGTCTGAAACGCGTTCCTAGAAAGAACAAAAATATAAATGACGATTGTATCCGAATAATATTACGTCTATAAACCGGACAGCTGAACAGAACACAGATTCCACGCAGGGGCGAAGAGAGACGCGCGTACTCCGTGCCTCAAGAAACATCAAGTCAGTTCCAAGATACAGCCGTATTTACCACCGCGTAAAATGAAGACTTTCTCTCCCGACCAGAGACAGGCAAAGTTAAGACGAAACACACAGCCTTGTATGGGTAATAACTTGTCCTGACATCTTGCAAAATGCCTCTAGCCAATTAAAGCGACGGATTCCGCCTACACTAGGAAGACTTTCTTAAGAGCACGCCACTGGGTCAAGGTCATCACTAGGGTCCACGCCATTCGCGGATCTGAATGGAGGACGTTATCGAAGGAGACCAAGAGGAAACAGCAAAGTGAATGCGCGTGAAAAGTAGCTTCAGGACAGATACAAAGCGTATAAACACATTTAAACCAGATCTGAACGGCGAACACGTGATGAACGCAAACAGAACTCTCGACACTGACTGCGCCAAAACAGCGCAAACTGTGTAATTTGCATGTTCCTCCCCTCTGAAGCAAAAAAATTGTCTGTTGATTAAGTCAGAGGGAAGTTAATCTTCACGTCGCAAACTAAGTCAATATGGTCTCAAGCAATTTCTGTTCAAGGTACAACGAATTAGTGCGAGACCCTTCCGCGGATCACAGACGCGCGTGTAAACGCAGAACCGTCAAATTTTTTCAGAGGAATCATTTTTAAGAAACGACGTCAATCGCATGTTTGAAGTAGTTTCGGACTGTCTTGTCCTGCGCACCGAAATAATCATGCACAATGGACGTAACGTCATGGTTAGAGTTTCGGCCACATTAACTTGGGGTTACGTCACTCAGAGACAGCGAGCAAACACGTTAATTGCCTGCACACGCGGCACAAGGCCAGAGACGCTTTCAGAGACGCACGACGCGCCATGCACCTCGAGTTTGTTACCTTTGTTCGATTTCTGGCTCTGGAACAGCAAAGGACGTTACCCATGCTTGGCGCTGTTTCAACATCCGATTGGTTCCCAAGTTGGCGCACGCGCCGTCACAGATGAAACTGCGTCCTTTGCGTCAACTCATTTCTGAAAACGTCGCTACACTGATACCGTCCCGCGACACACACACAACACTCGTGGCGACAAAGTGATGCGTGCTGCTGCAGTTAGGAGCCTCGTCTCGGCAAAAGTCGCTCTTGGGTCGCCTGAAACATTTTAAATATCAGGACACGGCTGCTCGAAAGAATGACCTCTGACCCCAGAGGGCAAGACCCGTGTCAGAGTGGCGGATTCAGTTGCGGTGATCAGCGAGAAACGTCGCCCTACTTCGCGTCGAAATGCAAAGCGTGTCCAGTCATCAGCGACGTTTCGATACCGTTCCGATGTGTCCGTTGTCCTGTACCGACAGTTACAAACAAACGTGTCCTGACGATCTATAAATTTCAATTCGATCTGCCGGGCGCAGCCAGGGCTTACCAGACGTCACTACATCGTTCAATTCGAGTTTATTTTAAAAGGAATGCTCGCTCCCTATTCTAAATTTACCCCAAAATTTCCGTGCAGGTATTTGAGCCCCACATCCATCGCAAACCATTTCCGAGACGCCATTCGCCCTGGCAGACGTACGGCAGCCGCCAAAGTGTGCCGAAGAGGCGGGGTTAAAACGGGCTCATTACAGACACGCCCCATCCAAGCGGTCAGGTGCCCTGGGCCCCAACAGTGAAACATCAGCATCAACAAAATTTTCAGTTTTCATTGCGGGAAGGTCGCGATTTGTTTGCTACCTGTAACACTGTGGCAGCAGGACCCGAAGGTCCAACTTCGCTGACACGAAAAGAGCCCACCACTAGACGGGATCCTGTGCCAGGTCCTTCCAACACCCTCCGTCACACCGCCCGGAGCGTGAATTTGTATCTTTTGGTTGAGCGACTGCGAGATGTTCAAAGAAAAATCTTAGCAGAACAATCACGTAGGCTAGATTTAATTAACTCCAAAGAGCAGCGGTCTCTTTGAGAAGCTGATAGTCGCTCAAATGGCGTAAAGAATCCACGCTGTTTGAAAACTCGAAGGTTAATTTCAGAGTTCGAAATGCCAAGCCAAGAAGAATACAGTCCGCACAACCACACCGTTTCCTGAAAACCAATTTTAATATTATCCCCCACATACGCCCAGATGATCCGACTACTTTTTTCCCTTCGAGTTTTCCCCACTGACATTTTCTACGCACAAAACCCTGGCCTACATCGGAGACTCGAGGAAACGGTTTGAACGCACACATCGACAATGATGCGCTAAGTGGGTTGCTGATTTACATTTATTAGCAGCTTGCAACTGGTTTCAGGACTCTTTGCGAACAGAACTTACACTGCACCCAACCAGAGGATTCGCCATTAAAACTTTCGCATGGCGAGGTTCCTCCGACCTTCAAAGCGTTTAAGACCAATTAATATCGGTAGTCGCTTGAAGATCGCCATGACGTCAGGCTTCTTTCTTACCACGAGCATGGCGAAGAATGTTAGGAAGGGTAAAGCCGGCGATGGCGTCCTACTTTCTTTCGCACATAAGTGTGTGTGTGTGCGAACCACACGCTGTCAAAACGATTTGCAAACAAAGCGATTGCTGGACGATCAGGGATGCCACTCTCAAAACCCAAAAGAATTTGAACGTCGTGCGTATTTCAGCATTTCTGCTACGCACCAAATATTTCCGTTCGCTTCTGGACACACTTTGCGTTACGACCGCGACGCACATCAGACGGACGCACGACCGACTGCTCTCGGGTGAGGGGGACAAAATTAGGCCTGATGCTACTGCTGTGGTATTCGCAGGACAACAGAAACTGATAATCTTAACCGGTTAAACGTCTCATCCCGAAAATCTCAACAGGGTCACTGTACTTCGACGATCAATCACAACACACGATGTGAAATGTTATTAAAAGTTACAATCTTAAATTTCGATTATATCAACCCGCAACTGTAACTAATTACACTCATGGTGTCAGGCTGTCGCCCAATTTTGTTGCGGGTAAAATATCAAAGCGATGTAAAATGAGCAACCGCGCTCCACTGCGTCGGAATATCTTTTCTCTCGACTGTGGAGAAACACCGATACAATGTCAGATCATGACTGCAATCTGACGTGTTAAGGGGCAGCAATTGCACAGCCCGTGCCTTGTGATTCTCCACAAACAACGAAACTTTGTAAAGGTGCGGCACTGCTCACAACTGCTAACACGGTCTTCGCACGCCTGCCTGCTTCGATGCGTTCTTTGTGCACAATTTTTCGTCCATTCAGGAAAAGCACTATTAACAGTCACATCCCCGCCCCTAGAACACCACCGGATCACATCAAAACACCACACTAATCCGCCACTTTTAAATCTTTGCACTGGACCACCTCCCTAACCTGACGTATCACTACAAGGAAATCCGCCACTGCGGCGATGATGCGACACTTTAAAATATCCGCGGCAGACAAGCACAGTAGCCCGGCTCGGCTCCAGACGCACTCTGTCGCCAGGCGGCGCAACCATTCCGCGCGCAAGCGAACATGTCCAAAACAACGGCGCTCTGCAAACACCCCCCGCCCTTTCTGAGGAGCAGGGAACTGCTTTTTGTGGTCTTCACGTACGTACGTACGTTCGTTCGTAATGAACCTTATTCTCCCATCTTCCCTTCGGGTTACAGAGAATTGACAATGACCAGAAAATTAAAATCGTCCTTCAACTTCCAGTCCGAAACCTCAACACCGAAATCTAACCTGAAAATGTTACGTGTTCCAATGTAAATGAACTGTCAGCTGCTTCACTGGTTAACACGCGGGTCAGAGCAACTGACGCACTGCCAGGGCGCAGAGTGAACTCGCACGATTCTTTACCTTTCAGTAATGAATCGAATCATATTGTGATGTGTTGGGGTTGGCATTGTTGAACTGTTTAATGACATTGTTGTATTCATGCATTGTTGTATTATTATTGACATTGTTGCGTTTAGCATTGTGTGCAGGAATGGTTTCACCTAGGTAGGGACGATGCTTGCGCTTAAGCAGGCCTCTGCCCTCAGTTAGCTTCTTTGGTTGGTTGGTTGGCTTTGAGAGTAGTGTAGTAGTGTAGTAGGTGAGAGTGTGGAAGAAATACTGCGAAGAGAGCTGAAGTGTGAATCGCTTGTAGGAGAAGTGTGTTGTAGACGAGATTATTTTGTGCTGTAAAGACGTTTTGGTTGATTAAATTCATTATTGTTGGAAGACTTTGTGGTCTCTTACAATCCAACCAAGTTTACAACTGAGATTGGATTTGAGGTAGCAGACCCCAGAATAAATCAAGGGTTGACAATAAAGGTTGTATACCGACCCACGCTACAATATTTAAGAAATCAGCCCGTACCGCGAAGAAAACACAATTCTTCCCCATTACAAATATCAACTGGTTAATCCTTTGAAGCCTACGCTCGTCTAAATAATATTTAAAATCATGCATACAGACGAAACTGTTTACACATTAAATAACACTTTGTGCCCAAAGCGTTTCGACCTCAAGAGGTCATCATCGGTGGCAAAATCATAAATTCATTAGTCTGTATAATAATCATACAATTTATGAAACGGTGGCTTGTTATAAAGGTCGCACCTTAAAAAACCACACCGAACGTTTAATGGCGCATGAGTTGGTGCATTATCTAAACTGAGCCACTCAGCTTAATGTCCCCTGGCCCAAGTTCTACTCGAGGTTTCCGTTGTTGGTCTACGGTGGGTCGAGGTTGCGCCTAGATTGTGAACTTCAACGTTGAGTGGGTCTTACTGTCGGTTCAAAACATTCAAAAGCACTTACGTCAAAGTGGCCTACGAGGTCAATAATACCATAAAGAACCGATGTAATTTAAGAAGACAACATAATAAATACAATAACAGGCACAGAAGAGCCACCGGGACCCACCCTGAACCACTTTAATATTATCCACATCCTCCCACCTAAAATCTCTGAGGTGCATTTCATTATAATCCTCCCCTCTAATGCACGATTTTCAACCCTAAAAGAATTTTTTATCTCTCCCACACATGCTACATGCCCAGCCCATCTCATCCACCTTGACTTTATTAACCTAAAATATTTTCTGAGGTCCTCATTATGCCCTTTCTCCGTCCTCCCACTAGGGCCCCAAATCGTCTTCAGCATCCTTGTCTCAGCCATGCCATTCCGCTAACCCTTCAACTCTTCATTTTGTCTTCGGATTTCCTGTAAGAATCGTCATGATGCTGACGTCCCTGACAGCATCTGCTGGGGGTGACGTCAGCATCAACAGGTACTGGAACAGCGGGAGGCTGCGTGGCGTAGTTCGCGAACACAGCGGACGTTCCCATCCGCTGCTGCGTTTGCATCCTCTCTGGACCCAACGTGTTTATTGCTGTGGGACACATGTTCTCTGACCCGCGCCGTCACGTCTATTTCTTTCGGATGGCAGATTTAACCGGGACGTACGTGAAATGGGATTCTTACGCGAGGACTCTTTCCAATTAGCCCTGTGGTTTTATCCGATCCGTGGCAGACTGCGCATACAATACCACCAACACGTGTAAATTTGTCTTATCGTCCCAGATTTAATAAAAAGTGTCTGATCGATATTAATCGGTATTATGTAACATCGAGTTACACAATTTGTCTTGACAGCCAGAAAGATTTCCCGCGGCCTTTGCGAATGTACGTAGGTGGACGCCGCGGTAGGAATACGTAAACTTAGCAGGATAATAAAACATTGCAGAGATCGGGCAAACCCAAAGCAGCCTCACCAAACAGTCTCTTCCTACAAGACACAATGAACTCTTCTTTAATCAGCAATACGTAGTCAGTGTTCAAAGTTGCTTTACTAAATCCTAACTCGTGACATCAAAACACAAGACGAGAGGTTGTTTGAGAACACGTGACTTTAACAGGGAAGAAATTACAGGAACTGGAGAGAATGTCAGGTCAGGTGGTTCAACTGCTCTGAACTACGCTCCAGGCATCAGTCAAAATGTCTCTCGACTGCCCACTCTATAGAGCTCAGCTCTTTCCAAATTGCCCGAACCCTTCCAAACACAAGTTAATTTTAAAAAAAAAATAATATTTAAAATTTCGGTCCGTACCTCAAAGAAAACGCAACTTATGGAAATGATCGCTTTTACAGCGAGAAATCACACAACAGTAACTACACTGTGAGCGAATGTAGGGTCACTGAATGAAAATAAGGTGGTAATTACCACCGTGCAACAAGAAGTCAAGAATAAAATCAATCAATCAATCAATTCAATCAATAAATCACACAAAGCGATCTGTGCACTGCAAATCTGCATACCCGCTTCACTCGGCAGGCAATTGGGTTGCATAAGCCGTTAGGCGGGAGGAATGCAAGTGGTCTCTTTCTTTCCTTTATGTCTTCCGACCTAGAGCCTTGTGATGAATGCGCGCTGGAATACAATGTCAATGTACGACACAAAACGGAGAGTCTTTTAACGGCGTTCGGCCGTCTGTTAATTTTGATTTGGATCTTGCCCGTTGAGTTTCGGCGGCGCTGAGAACTTGGTCGAGTATACCCGCGTAGCTACTCAAGACACTCCTCCTGCTGCCGACAGAGGCTCCACT